AATAGAACAGGCGCACCAATGAAGACGTTTGTTACGCATGTTGTGATTCCCTAAGCTAATAATCATACTTCAAGAGCCCTTTCCGAAACGGGCAGCTGGATAATTTCCTTTCCATTTATTTCTATTTAGCAACAAAATGCTCTTCCTCGGAATTTCTATGTAAGTCTACGAAAACCTGTGTGCCTGACGTGGTAAGGTGTGATGGATGGAAGGATTGTCATGATGGTAGCGATGAGCTGGTAAGCGTTACGTCTCCTTAACTCAGTCACTAGTAATCTCAATCTTTGCAATACTTTAGAATTGTCCCCCGTTGAAGCACCATTCCCACCGAAAACACCATAATATTCATCATCATCGTAAGTTCTCTCGGCTTACGGTCGTATGTGAGGATGGCACGGCACCGGAGTACAGCTTGTGAGCATTTTCGTTCTCACTATCACTTTCGTTTTTTTTCATGTTTATTCTGGATTTCATGCTGCTTTTCACAGTGGAAAGTTCAAGCAAACATAAGAAGCAAAATTTGCAGCCAATTTTTTTTCTGCAAATCTGTTAATATGGAGTGAATTTTGGAGCCTAATAATAGTGAAGCAAATAGCGTAGGTGTGGGGTGATAAATGAGTTTCCTTTGGTAATAAAACACGTATTTTAAGGAATAGAAAAGGAGGAACGTAAGCTTAATGGGTAAGCGAACCAGAAATACTACCATAGATTTTGCGCTTTTTTTCAGATCGTATCATAAGAGGGTAAAATCTGAGGTTCCGGAAAGTAGCTTTGAAGAGATGTAGCAGCAATACAGCCTTTTGCATAAATCGATTGCTATCAAAAAAAATTTGCAGGATTTTCCCATTTTCTTATTGCGAGGTTCTTCAACAACTGCCATTTTCTCCAATTTAGCATATTTTACATGAATTTCCCCAAAATTTTCACTTCTTCCCAGAGATCGTTCATAACTTGGCCGATATTCCATTGAAGATGCGCTCGGTTATAGTTTGTCCTTCGATCATTTCAGCGGTCGGTCACGAATGTTTGCCTCGTCTCGACGCCGGCTTGAAACTAATTGTATCGCGCGGCAAAGGGAAATAAGCAAAGGGTTTAAGATCAATCATGTACTTTGCCGATATTTCAGACATGGTTCAAGCTATTGTTGGTCCGATTCTGTCTGTCCGACTGCGACAAGTTGCATCCAAGGATTGTGCTGTCGCACCGGAAGTGAGTAATTCCCACATTGTATAGCCATAGTTATTACATAGAATGGTATTCGCCCTTAACAGTATGCAATTTTACCATATTGGAGTAAGTGGG